AGATCCATTGTAATAGAGAAAGCCATATGCCTGAGGCCTCACATTTTTATTACAGTTAGTGACATGCAGGAAAAACATATTTATATACGTATATGTTGAACTGTTTCAACATCAAACATATGTTTGGCAACAGATATTTGAAAGATACTACTTCTGTTGAGTCCATCCATGTGAAATTCTCTTTTGATCTATTATATACAAAATTGTCTTCTTGTGCTAGCAATTCTTATTGCCTAGGTATTTTCTATTCTATTCTATTTCTGTTATAGTTCCTGTTTTGCCTCATCAAGTACCGAGATGCCTTTTCTCAGCATAGTAAATTATATGATTTATATCTCTCACATTTCTTTGCTTTCTCTCTCCTATTAGTAGAGCATTTTAATGTGTTCACTACTCAGAGCACCTTGCACCTCAAGCTTACTGTCTGGAATTTCTCGAGGAGCCTTTTCAGTGCATAGTTGAGCCCCCAAGGGAGGTGAGGAGGCTGCACTGCAGTCACCACTGTGACTGAAGCTTTAAATCAGCTGCTTACAGCCACCAGCACTCATCACCTAATGCAGCTTTTTTTCAGATTTTGCAAGCACACTGAGATCAATTCTAGTGTGACTTTATCATCACCTCGAGTTGGTTCAGATATGTCTGATTTAGCATCTATCACACCTTGCCTTAAGCAGGGAGCTCCTGCAAATGGCCTATTGCATAGATGAGCTTTAGCAATGGTAAAATATTTTGCCCACGGACTGGATTTGTTGACCACAGTTTTAATCTCAGAGCTTTGAGCTGCACTGGTTTATGCTGTTAACTGTCTGGAGGACTAGAGCTGAGACTAAACTGAGCCAGTTGTGTATGGCAAAGAAGGAGAGAGGGTGGTGAACCAAAGGCAGGCTTAACTTAATGTGATTTAACTCCTGTAGGTTTCAGGATGACTAAATCGGAAGTTGAATGTGAGGGGAGCTCATGCATTACTAACTTGGCCTAATATGGTGAACAGGATATAGTCTCATTTCTCTCTTGTGCAACTCTTCTGAAGTCAGTAGTTACTTCAGGAACTCTGGTTTCCTAGCCTTTTCTCTCTTTGAGACTGTATGCCTTTTAAAGATGCACACTCAGTAACAATCTCTTTTGCTTATTTTTTCTTAGCTTTTTCACGAGAGGATGGGAGTAACAGTACCTGCTCAGAGAGAGCTGAGCCAATACTTTTCGAGTATTCCACTGCTCTTGTGTTCTTGGTGTTCGCTCATTTCCTGAAATGGGCACTACTGAAACCTCTTACAATGCACAGTCTCAGTACTCTAATGTACAAGAATGATATTTACACCATAAAAAGTACTTTTTATAAGTATGTTATTATGTTTTAGAAGAAGCCAATGTAATAGTTCTACAGTTTAGTGATTTCCTGTATTTGATAATACAATCTCTTCCAAACAATCAGCACTTAAGTCAGTGTCAGTTTGTATCACATAAAAAGTGAGAACATCTAAATATCTTTTGAAATACACATGACAACATGGATCTCTGGACTATGATTTTGGTTTTATTAAGAATTATCAGTTTGCTTGTTTACTATGCATAGACATCAGCGTACGTAGAGACACTTTCAAGACTTAAAGACTATATGCTTTTGAAGCAAGAAAAAATGATCTTTCAGGCTTGCATGCTTTGTCAGTTCAATGTTATCAGGTCATGCATATGTTGAGTAATTTCTATTTCACTCAACAATACCTAGCTCGATTCCAAAATATGTGACACAACAAATGCAAGAAGAAGAAATTACCGATTTTCAGTTTACTTGGTTTTTATCAGGGAAATTAAACAAAACAAAACAAAACAAAACTGTCACGTTCAATGCACTGGTTGGTTATGTAGGATTGAACTTCCTATGATTTCTAATGCTAGAAATATGCAAGTTTCTAATCCTATAGATACAAATGGTCTGACTGAAGTTCATGAAAATGGGCTTCAAGATCCAAGCACGTGAATGAGTGTTCTCTGGATTAAAAACTATTACATTACACTCTTGAGCTATAACATGAGCACTTTATCACACCAGACACTTAACCCGTACCTGCTTTTAAAAATTAGAATCAATTTTTCTTTTGGCTCTTTGTAGTCGAAGTCTCCCTTTTACGGTTTCAAAGCAGCGCTCAGAGTTTCCTAGACAGCTGGGTGAAGTACCTCCCACACAAACTCTATTCTATTTGAGATAGACAGATAAGCACTGTAGTCCACCACAGTCATGAGAAAAGCCCAGTCTGACAGACATGTTTGAATCACAAGGACTTTGCACGCAGCTGAACACAAACACAACAAATTCACTCACCACAAACACTGGTAGAGGCTCTCAGGTGTATTGGTATAGAGGCAAGATCCTTTACTAGAAAATAGACATGTGAGGCTGGGCCTGTCCAATGCCCAGCTCTTGTATCTCTGGGAGTTCTCCAAGTCGCCAAGCCAATGGGATGGTGCTTCTCTCCACCTACTCTGCTGTATCTGGGCCACTGAAAGAAAAGAAATGCAAAGATGCAAAGGGCAAATGGGAGTAAGACCCATGTAGCTTTGTTTGCAGGGACACCTGGAGAGGATGGAAGAAGTTTTGCATTTCCAAGAGAACCTATAAGTTTTCCCATAGATATTGGATAAAACACATAAACAGCATCTGCTGATCACAGGGGTGATCTGCCTACTGAGCTGCAGATTCAGGCTTCCTTTTCTGTACTCTACTACAGTCTCATGAATTTTGCATTCTTTCCAGCTAGGTGCCTCAAATCACCCTGGTGAGGCCTGGCATCATCCCTGTGTGTGTTTTAATGCCTAAACCAGTTGTTCAAGAGCCCTGTGAATTGGGCTCTGTATCTCTAATGATGATTTTCATCTTGCTTAATATGAAGACTGCAAGAAGCATTTTCTTTGTATTTTAGAAATTACTTGCTGCATCACATATGAAACGATCCCAAGCCTACACCCTGTAGCTTGTGGAATACACAAGATGTTCTTTTTGGATTGTGGTTGCTGAAATGGAACATCTGCATTTCCAAGAGCAACCAAACCCTCTGAATCAAAGGGCTGTGGTAATAGCCAGCACAAAACGAGAGAGAGTGAAATGTTGTTGTAGCCTGTATTTTTGCTTTAACCATACATGCTTCTCAGTAGAAAACAAAAACAAAGATGCAGGCAGCTGTGGACAAGAAAAAGTAAAATGTAGAATGCCGTTTCTTTTTTTTTTCTCTGAATAAAACAAAATAGCAAGTGATGACATTAGCTCAAATGTTCTAGCACTTGGTTATATATTTGTTTCTCTCAGTCATGACATTGAAAATAACTCACAGTGCTAGTGATTCAGGTTTGCTATTGGCATCTGTTCAGTGACCAGAGACTAATGACTTGACATTCTCTTTACAATTTTTAGTGATTTTTGCAAAAATGCCATTGCTATTTATGGAACTAAGTGGAAGTCAAAGAACCGAACCAGTACAGTGGCCCCCATCCAACATTGCTTGAAACCGTTATTTTGCTGGAGTCTCAAGCTGTGCCATGGGAGGTTCAGGTTGGACATTAGGAGGAATTTCTTAACAGAAAGGGTTAAACATTGGAATGCACTGTCCAGGGAGGTGGTGGAGTCATCCTCTCCGGAGGTGTTTAAAAGACTGGCCTGGTACTTTGTGCCGTGGTCTGGTTGACATGGTGGTGTTCTGGCAAAGGTTGGACTTGATCTTAGAAGTATTTTTCAACCTAATTGATTCTGTGATTCTGTTTCCCTATTTGAACAAAAGGTCCCTGCTGCAAGTGTGACAGTAAGGTTTGAATTGGAAACACCAAGACACGCTGCATGGATTACACATTTAGTTTAATGCTGGCATCTATTCTTTCTGTGTTTGGTGTGCTACCTTGCACATGGTTCTTGTCAGGACACAAACTGGAATGCTTTGAACTTCTGGTGTTGTGGAAGGTGGTCCCTCCTTCCCAGGATCACAGTGTGTCTGTGGTTGGAACAGATCTGTGAAGGTCAACTTCTCCAGTCCCTCTGATCAAGCAGGACAGACTCACAGGATGGGTCAGGTTGGAACGGACCGCAGTGGGCCATCTGGTCCAACTTCCCGGCTCAAGCAGGGTTGTCCTAGAGCACGTGGCACAGGGTTGCATCCAAGCGGTCCTTGAATATCTCCAGTGAGGGACCACCCGAGGACCACTTACAGCCGACTGCCTAGGGCAGTGTCCAGACGGCTTTTGAAGATCCGCAAGGATGGAGATCACAGCAGCTCTCTGGGCGACCTTCGCTGGCACCTGCCACCCCCCGTGCCCGTGCTGTGCAGGCGGCGGGAGCCACGAGCTCTGAGTCGGGGCGGAAACACGGCGGCAACATCGCCCCACGGCACGAGGACCTGGCGGCAAAAGACGCTTTCCCCAGCGGATCAGAGCCCCCGGCCCCGCGCGAGCCCCGCCGGAACCGGCGGGGGCGGAGGGGGGCGGGCACTCAAAGCCAGCGGCTCCCGGAAGGAGCGAGCTCGGGCTGTCACGCCCGCCCTGCCCGTGCAGGGGCCGCTTCGAACCGCCTCCCTTCCTCCCGCCCCGCCCGCTCCTTCCTTCAGCAGGGCAACTAGAGTCTGGAGCACAGTTCCTACGAGGAGCGGCTGAGGAAGCTGGCGTTGTGTAGCCTGGAGAAAAAGAGGTTTAGGGGTGACTTTATCCCTCTCTACAAGTACCTGAAAGGAGGTCGTAGCCTGGTGGTGGTCGGGCTCTTCCCCCCGGTTACAAGTGAGAGAAAGAGAGGACATAGTCTTAAGCTGCGCCAGAGGAGGTTTAGATTGGACATTAGGAGGAATTTCTACACAGAAAGGGTGATTAGACACTGGAATGGGCCGCCCGGGGAGATGGGGAGTCACCGTTCCTGGAGGTGTTTAAGAAAAGACTGGACGTGGCACTTAGTGCTGTGGTCTTGTTGACATGGTGGTGTTCGGTCAAAGGTTGGACTCGGTGATCTCAGAGGTCTTTCCCAACCTAATCAATTCTGTGACTGATTCCGTGATTCCTTCCCTGGCGTGCGCCCGTTCCAACCCCCTCGCGCGCGCGCGCACCTCCCGCCGCCGTCCCGTGCCGTCCCCGCCCGCACCGGAGCCGTTCCCCCGCGCATGCGCCCCGCGCCGCCGTGCCGACTGTTCAAACGGAAGGCGGACATGTTGGTGCCTCTCGCAGGTTTCCTCGCAGCCGCCGGACCTCACGCTCTGCCCTCCCCTTAAGCCGCCTCCTTTCCTCCTCCCCTCGCACGCCGCAAGCCTCGGGTCGGTCCTGCAGCAGTCCAAGCTGCCCTCCCGTGCGTGAGGCGGAGCGGGGAGCGGAGCCGGCGTTGGCAGCAGCGGGAGGCAGCGAGGAGGAGGAGGAGGAGAGAGGAAGAAAGATGCTGCTGCCGCCGCTCCGCCGGTGAGGTGACTCGTCCGCCATCCGCGGGGGCACTCGCCTTGTGCCTTCCTCGTTTCCTCGCCCCGTGCCCACGGACGGACCGACCCCACGGCGCTGAGACACGCCGCCGAGAGGATTCTCTTAAGTTTGATTTTTTTTTTTCATCCGCTCTGCCTTGTTGGTGTGGTGTGCCTGCAGGATTTTAGGATTTTGCCTTTTTTCTTTTCTTTCTTTTTTTTTTTTTTTTCCTTTTCTGTTGTTTCTTCTGGTTCACCGGAAAGAAAGCCACGCTCCGGAACCTGGCACCGACCCGCCGGCGCTGCAGCAGCAGGGCGAGGAGGAGGGACCGCTACGCTGGATCCCAGGGCGGCTTCCCCGGCTGGGAAAATGGGAATGCTGAGACGGTGGGGCCCGAGCAGAGGAGGGAGGGAGAGGAAACCTGCTGCTGCGGAGCTGTGAGCATCCCGGGAAGCTGCGTGCGTGCCTGGAGAAGCGGGGGGAGAAGCAGCCTCGTCTCCCCCGCCCTGCCGCGGACTCCCCTTGGGTTTTCTGCCCCCTTGGCGGGGACTTGCCCCAGAGACTGCCGTGATTGAAGGGATCTCCCAGGAGGCGCTTCCTCAGCCGGGTACAGGCTGTGTGGTTTCTCTTTTGTGCTCGCCTGTTCCTGTTTTTTGTTTTTTCTTTTTTTAAACATTACCATTTTTTTAACCTTACTTTGCTCTGGAATAAGGGAAACTTTTTATCTCCGGAAACATGTCGACGGGAGAAAGTTTTGAGTCTCGCTTTGACAAAATCGACGTGACTTTGAAGGACCCCAAATCCGAAGTGAACGTGGACTGTTTGCTGGTGAGTAGGGAGCGCCAATGGGCCTCCGGTCCCGTCTCCCTGAATTCCTTACCCTGTGGGACCGAATCTCGCACTCCTGACTGAGTCACCGCCCTGCTCAGCTCCGCACTGGTGTTTTGTTTACTCAGCCGAGGGTGCGTGAATGTCTCTCTGTGCTGGGAGAGCGGCTCATGCCAAGGAGCGCCCGCCCAGCCCTGCCTCACACTTGTCATCTCTCGCTCCGTGCGCCTTTCTGTGCCTCACCGGCTGTCAGAGGGGCGGTGGAGCCTTTCCACGAGGGTGGAATTCGTGAGTGCCACTCCTGTGTGTGAGCAGAGGACTGTAAATAGCTTTGATAGCAATTTTCTCTTCAACAACTTTTTTATAAGACTGAGGTCCTCTTAGGCGGTGGTTAAGCCCTGCAGCGCTGACTTCAACCTGCAAATTAACGACGTGTAAAACACGATTAGTGTGCCCTTATAGGTGGGCTGGGGTTTAAGTGCATTTTAAACTAGTGGTTGTGCTAGGCCTGCTCTCTTATTGTTTCCCTACTTGATCATATCTAATGGTTCACTGTATCTCACCAGTGCTGTCAGTGTTATTATTGCATCCTAAGAAAGCAAACCATAACATTTCCTGACATAAAATCAATCAATGTCATTTGGTAGCTTCTTGACAGAAGTGGTTGATCTTTCAGTTCTGATTATAAAAAGTACCTCAGCAAAGTGCATGCCAACCAAAAATCCAGCCGATTTTTTTATGATGTAGCTGCGTCCTTAGACATGCCTAGAGATGCCCTTAACTAGTACCAAATTGTGATTTCTACTTTCACACTGAAGTAAAGGATTTCTTTTCTTTGTAGCAAGTAATAAAAGTTCTTTAGTGTACTTTTTTTCCTTAGCATTCTGTTGTCAGAGAGGAACAAATAAATCGAATTTGTTCTAGTATGAACTCTGACATTTGGATTTGGAAGGGAAAGGAGGTGTGGGGGTGGAGATAGCTCTTAATAGTCATTCTTCATTTTTCTGCTGCATGGCTCTTGGCAGAAAGCTCACTTGAGCATAAGGAGGTGTAGAGATTAAAAGAATAATGCAAGAATCTGTACAAGTTCATGATACTCTGTTTAGCTTATTACTGATTTGTGAGCTTCTGAAGTGTTGGCCCATCAAACCTGCATACCTAGATAAAGGAGAGCCTTGTGGATGCTGCTGCCACAAGGGAAAATAGCTCTGCGTGTTCTAGTTAACTTGCTTCTTTTGATCTAGTTTACATATCTGTCATCTTAGAACCAGAGCTAAAGAGCAGACCTCTGGTGCTTAGGATATAGTGTGTCAACTCAAGTCTGCTGTCTCATCAGACGTTTTTATACCCAGATTCTACTGATAGGTGTCAAGACTATGGAGTCAATTCAGAGTCCAGGGTTTTATGTTAACCATGACTCTCGATTTGCTGGTATGTACTTTAATGGTGGCTGTTCTATGGGGACCTTCCTACAGTGATAGAAAGGAATTTGCAGGTATCAGACATGCAGTTGGTAGTATCTTTAACCGTATTCCTTAATCTTATAATCAGTTTAAGGATTTGCCCCATTTCAGTTATCTTAATTGCGATTAGGAGCTAAGCCGTAGTCAGTTTGGGAATGAACTTGTTGGGATGCTTCCTGTCATGCTTGTCTAAAATTTTAGAACATGTGTTTGCATCGCAGATCTTAATGTCCTTTAAAGTGACAATTTTTTAGAAAACCACTTTTAAACTACTGACAATTAAAAAAAAAAAGTGCTGCTTGTAAGGAAACTTGTTGGCTAACTTTTTATGTGTTTGGTCAATAAATCAATCTTTCTGCCAGCTGGACTTTTACTCTGTTTCACTTGTTCTTGGGCTCTTTTCCATAGAATTTAAGTATCCTAACACTTTCTGAAGAACTTACATATTTTACACCAGTTCTTAATGTGGTCATTCACACTACAAGCATCATTCTTGGCCCAGTGTTGCACTAATGTATCAAATACATGGTAATCTCTGTGGATATGCTTTTAAGGAAGAAATGCTTATCTATAATTGATCTACACTTAAAATATCTTCTAAAATGAATACCCCATTCCCCTCCCTGCATCTTTCAGTTAAAGTGGGAAATTTGTCAGACTTTAGACCTGGTATGCTTAAAAAGAGGATAAAATCAGGTTTTTCTGCTCAGACTGCATAAAAAATTCTTTTAAATTAAACTTTTTAAATCTAAAATATTTTTTTTACCTTCAATTAAGGTTGTGAATTGATGTTACTTATAATTGCTTTCACTTTTCCTTAGGAAGGGTGTTAGCTAACTGTGTGTATCTGAGTGGAAATATATGATTAACTGGTACACAGGCACTTCAAATGCAGCATCTCATTTTCTGTACACATAGGTTTAAAATCTTGGGGTTCATTTAGGTTCAGGAAACATACGTTTTTTTGGCTGCACGAAGAAAAGTCTGCCTTTGGCTGCACAAAGCACTGCCTTTGGCTTCTCTTAGGGTGGTTTTATCCTCTTTAACTTTGTTTTAATTCCATTCTTACTCTTCTTCCACATCAGTTTGTACCCCTTGTAGGTTAAAAGGCAGACATGGAATAACCTTTAAATCAGTTTTGTAATAATTTTGAGTTTTGCAAATGTCATAAGCTATGTTCTGTATGCTAGAAAGATTCTAAATTTATATGTGCAGTAGTATCAGAACGCTAAGAAAAGATGGGGGCGGGGGCTGCTACAAAGGAAGATGTGTTACCGTTTCAGGAAGGTGTGGGAGAGGAGTGCTGACAACAGAGCAGAGCAGGCGGAAAAGGCACACCGAGGACTTTATGGCTTCAGTTTACATGCTGTAGGAAGGAAATTCATACAGCTGAGGTGCAGGAGAGAGATGTGTTTATTTTTCCTGTTTTCTCTTATGCAACTGTAATAAAACTGTAAGAATCAGTTGCCACTGTCAGTAACTAGATCTATTTGTTTCTTTGGGGCTTGCATGCACTTGGTTTAGTACTAGGCTGGGAAATCTGTAGGTAGGCTGTCATTTTTTTGAGGAGGCCAAAGCCTGAGTTGTGTGTAAATGATGTGTCACAGCATCACGTAATGCTTTTTCTCAAAATATTTAGTACTAGGAGGCCTACAGTCCAAAAAGATCTAATAACTCTGTGAAGGCTGTGTTAGAGAGGTAGTCATACTCCAGGGTGTGCAGTGGTCAGATCCTGGTGAATCCCACAGGCGTGCTGAGTAGGCCCAAAGGCAGTTTAAGTAACTAGCTATTAATTTGAGCTAAGTGTCTCATTAATGATATTAAGCAGTGGAAAGTAATATTCAGTGAGCATACCTCTGCAACAATTTTGGAATAAATCCATGTTTTATTAAATCCTTGGGGTTGGTGGGCTTCCAGGTTTTGGGGAGTGGTGTAATAAGTGAATGGGTATGGGACATGTTAACCTGAAGTTGCCTATGCTTTTGATTGTAAAATAACTAGTAAATTTTAATGAAAATATATTTTGGGGCTCTCTCTGTTCTAATAATAACTCACAGAGTGTTTTCATTGTTTATGTAGATGCTTGGGTAACTTGGTTATTCAGGTACCTAGTCAATTACTTCAGTAGTCGATATTTAAAACTTTGGACTTTTGATGGTCTTTATCTTCAAAGATGTCAAACGTTTCACTTGTTGAGCAGCGTGTCTTCAAATTAACTGACAATAGTGAACACTGCATATGACAAACTGGTTTTATCTACTCTGAAGAGATTTCCATTTTTTGTTGCAACAAAAATACATAGCTACAGATTGTGATTTTTTTTCCTAGGTCTGTTTTATCCGCTAGATTAATTCATCTGTCTTGCATAGCAAAAGGCGAGATGATCTCCTCATATTTGGGATTTGAAATTCTATATCTCTGTCACTAGACATTTTTTCCCCTTCTGTTAAACTAGTTAGGAAGTGTTTCTGAAGACCTTGTTGTAAGACTCCAGCCCCAGGAGCTGCGAGCTCACGGACTTAGCTAGGAGTTTTACTTTAATATATATATATAGGGTTCTTTAATACCTCGAGATAGCGTTAAGAGAATAAGCCATGGACTTGTTCCCAAGAGGTATCTTTATTAATTTAGGGGAGAAGATAAGAGAACTTGGCAAAGGTTCAAAAAGGGCACCACGCAAGCTAGACAAAATGTTCCACTACGATACCAACTCAGTACATATTAATCCACAGCACTTAAGTCAAAATCCAATCTATCCACAACACTTAAGTCAAAATCCAATCCCTCCAGCTCCAAGCCACCTAAAGCATCAAGAAAGGAGCAGAGAAAGGGAAGCAGAGGGAGAAGGAAGAGAGAAGGAGAGACAGATTATATAGCTACCACTGGAACCTTGTAGAAGATCAGCTCTCACATGTCCAGGTGGCAGGGCCGCAACACGAGGCAAACACGTCTTTGGTTTTATCTGCTCTGGTCCCTGTGGCCAACCCCTTCAGGTGGGGCCTCTGACCCACCAGCCACTCTGGGGTTCCAGGCCAGGATGAGGGGCAGTGTTCTCGCTGTCCCTGCCAATCTGAGCCTGGGTTAGGGGCTCTAGGATTTGTGGTGTGTTATGGTTCTCCTGGGCTGTTTGTGACTGACAGCTACTCCAGGGCTTCCCCATGTGGGCTCCAGGGGTCTGCCATGAGGGATATGATGCCACCTCAGCTCTGTTCAGCCCATCCCTCCGTCCTCCACACACACACACACACACCCACACCCACACACACCCCCTACAAGGTGGTTCTGACCCAGTAATTACTGATCTGGTGTCTAACAGTTGTGGTTAGGGATTTGGTTAAAAAACCAAAGCAAGAAAAGAAAGCAAGTAAAGTAAAGAAGTAAAGAAAATAACTGAAAGTACCTTTTCTTCAGAGGTTCTTATCTATCCAGATAACTGTCAAAAATCACCTTCACTGAAACCACATTAACTCTGCTCTTAAAATCTGAGTGTTGAAGTGCTAGAGGGATTTGGTGTCTGAAAAGCTTCTTGAAGACAAA